AATCCATTGTGGTGGTGTATAGAGCCAAAGATGTTAGAATTGTGTCGATGTCCCAATATTTCTGGACCTGACTGTATAACACTCAGCAAACAATGAATAAACCTGTCAAAGCAAGACATGTAAGCAGGATTGTTTCCTGTTAAAACATATGTCATCTCTTCTAAGTGATTTGTTGAATGAACTTTTATTAAGAAATGTTTTACTTGATCTCAGCCAAGTGCATCTGGGTCTTGGTGCTTCTCAATTCACATATACTACATAGCACCCTTTTATCAGTGAATTAAAATTTACTTTACCTCTCACTCATAATGTGGATCTAAAACTTGTAAAAATCAGATCAATCATAGTGGCTTTTGTTTGTATATCACAGGAACAATTACACTATCAATTAAAAACATTCTCACCTTTTTATTGTAGGCTACTGTTTGGATTGGAATTTGCTCTCCTGTTTTGGTGGACTCCCAAAGTAAAGTATGAAGGAGGATTTCCAATCTATTACTATATTATATTATTGCTGAGTTACGCCTTACATCAGGTAAGGTTGCATGTATGTGTGGAATTATTAGTTCAGTTTATGTATGATTGCTTCAAGAGGTACATGAACTTTAATGAATGGATTACTTAAAGTGGAAGCATCTCTTTTTAGGCTCACATAGTAGCCTGAAAAATGTTGGGCTGCTTTAATAAATAGCAGAAGTGCTGCAGATTCAAAACATTTCTCAGAATCACTTTTGAAATGTGCACAGCTTATACACACAGACATATACAGTACATGCATACATACGTGTGTGTGTGTATAAATAAAATACACGGTGCAATTTCATTTTAATTGACTAATTGGGTGGAGATGTGTCCATTAATTACAATTTTTTGTTGAATTGGAGAGTATGTGACCCATAGCAATTGGAACAATCCTGGTGGAGCTTCTCATTAATAACCAGGATCATACAAGGTTGTTTTTGTTTTGTTTTTTTAAATATAGTAGGGTAGGAGTGAGATGCAATGGAATCTCAGTTATATGTACTCTTAGGGGCAAAAAAGGTTCTCATCCCAGTCCTAAAAGAAAGAGCAGGATATTAATGTTTTGAATAAAAATCAAGTATTGTCTTGATGGTTATTTTCCAGGTTACTGTGTACAGCATGTATGTTGCTATAATGGCATTCAATGCCAAAGTTAGTGACCCACTCATTGGAGGAACATACATGACATTGCTTAACACAGTGTCCAATCTGGGAGGAAACTGGCCAGCCACAGTAGCTCTTTGGCTTGTGGATCCACTTACAGTGAAGCAATGTGCTGGAATTCAAGGACACAACTGTGGGACTACAGCTGCTGCAGAAGTAAGTTTGGTACAGAAGAGATTCTCCATTGTAATGGTAGTATGGTAATACTGAATTTCCACACTGGCCAGAAATGGCTGACGCTTCAGCGGTTCGAGTCCAGCCTTTGCGTTAAACAGGGTGAGCTCCTGTTTCCTCCCCAGTTCC